GAGTCTCACTCTGTTCCCCAAGCTGGTGTGCAGTAGCGTGATCTTGGATCAATGCAACCTTCGCCTCCCAGGTTCAAGCGATTCTCATGCCTCAGCCTGCCGAGTAGGTGGAATTACAGGCTCCCACCACCACGCCCAGCTAATTTTTGTATTTCTAGTAGAGACGGGGTTTCATCATACTAGCCAGGCTGGTCTTGAACTCCTGACCTCAGGGGATCCGCCCACCTCAGCCTCCTAAAGTGCTGAGATTACAGATGTGAGCCACTGCGCAGGGCCAACTGAAGGGCTTTTATCCTTTTCCGCCAGATCATCTTAACATAGGAAGCTAACTAGCCTCCCTGTCTCAAATCCTTCCTAAATGGGCCAGATATAGAACTGTGTTGGCACCTCTGCTCTCCTCATCACTACTCCTAGCCTTTTCCTGTGCTCACAGGACAAAACTTGGAGGGCACCGGGGGAGGCAGTGAGCAGAGCCTGGCTGGTTGTCCCCAGGAAGGAAGGAGGAGGTCCAGGCCATAACGGCAAGGTGTCATCTCTGACCAGCCTAGGACGCAGGACAGAGTTCTTCTTCCTCAGGCCATGGGTAACTTGGCTTCCACAAATAAAAGCTGAGGAAGAGGGATGAAACTGGAGGCTTACAGCAGGAATGTCCAGGGAGGGCAGGGGGAAGGGCAGGCAGGCAGTTCAGGACATCACAGACTTTCATGGCCAGAGTGTAGAGAGGCTGAAGAAGGTGGGTTTTCTGGAGGACTGTCCCAACCTCTCAGGGGCCAGCTGGGCATCCAGGCATCTCCTACCTTAGAAGGTAGACCAGCAGAATAGGCACCACTTAGAGATTTAGAAATGCAGTTTTCCAGACCTCACTCTAGACTTTCTGACTCTACATTTAACCAGATCCTCAAGGTGACGTGTGTGCAGGAAAGTTTGAGAAACCTTGTTGAGGGGAGGAGTTCTGACAGGGCTGGAGGGAGGACACCCCTCTAACAGGCAGCACGCAGGGGCTGCCATGGAGGTGACATCACACCACATGGTGAGTTGGGGAAAGAGAGAGGCAATGAGCTCCTTCCGGTGGGGCTGAGTGTGAGGGGGCTGCTGGAGGGGGGCTGCTCAAGACAGCAGCTGTGCCTCTGAGCCTCTGCCTCTGCATGGGGCACAGGTTAGGGCCAGAGACATGGATTTGGAGCCCTCAGAAGAGACGGGGACGTAGAAGCTGTGAGACTGGACGAGATCACCTAGAGCAAGTAGAGAGTGGGAAGACAGCCTAGAATGGAGGTTGAGGGGATGCCCCCATATAAACAGCAGCCAAGGGGAGGAACTTGGCAGAGATTTCAGCAATCAGTGGCCTAGGGGAAATTCCAGCTGAGCCGGGGGAGACAGAAGGGTCAATAGGATTGAATGGATGGAGCAGACAGGAGAGCACCAGACAGGGTCCATGGATTTCACAGGCCATCAGAAAATGTTACGTTAAAAGGGCTATCAAAAGCGGAGATAGGCCAGGCACATTGGCTCACACCTGTAATCCCAACATTTTGGGAGACCAAGGCGGGAGGATTGCTTACGCAAGAGTTTGAGACCAGCCTGGGCAACATAGTGAGACCCTGTCTCTACAAAAATTACAAAAATTAGCCAGGCATGGTGGTCTGTGCCTGTGATCCCATCTGCTCGGGAGGCTGAGGTGGGAGGATTGCTTCAGCCCAGGAGGTCAAAGCAGCAGTGAGCTGAGATCGCACCACTGCACTCCAATCTGGGCAACAGAGCAAGACCCTGTCTCAAAAAACAAACAAACAAACAACAACAACAACAACGAAAAAAACTGGAGATAGTGGAAAGAAAACTTAATGCCTTTTTAAAAACATAGTTTGGGAAGTGGCTATTAAAAGGACAGTCTATCAGCAGAAGTGACAGTCCATCACTGCAGAAAGATAAATAGAGCTGACAGGGGAAGCCGCTGAACTTGTTGATTTTTGTTTTCTGTGTACAGCTGTGGAACAAATAGGGAAGACAAACAGCTGGCTGCTAACTCTGATCACATAAATGGAAGTTAAGGAAAACTGGATCATAAAAGTGATGGATAAGGAAAAAACAGTGCTAAACCATATCTTAAAATATTTTGCTTATCTTATTTTTCTCAAAACATTATATATATGTCATGTTAAAATCGCTTAATAATATTGGTTTTTTTTTAAAAAAAAAAAAAAGGCGGCCGGGCGCGGTGGCTCAAGCCTGTAATCCTAGCACTTTGGGAGGCCGAGATGGGCGGATCACAAGGTCAGGAGATCGAGACCAGCCTGGCTAACTCAGTGAAACCCCGTCTCTACTAAAAAATACAAAAAACTAGCCGGGTGAGGTGGCAGGCGCCTGTAGTCCCAGCTACTCAGAAGGCTGAGGCAGGAGAATGGCGTAAACTCGGGAGGCAGAGCTTGCAGTGAGCCGAGATCCGGTCACTGCACTCCAGCCTGGGCGACAGAGCGAGACTCTGTCTCAAAAAAAAAATTAAATTAAAATTAAAAATTAAAAAATTTAAAAAATTTTAAAAAGGCATTAAGTTTACCACAATTTTTTAATGGGGGTAGGCATTGGGAACTGGATTGTGATGATGGCTGCACAATTTGGGGAATTTACTAAAAATCATTGAATTGTGCACTTAAAACATGAATTTTCTTCCTTTCTTCCTTTCTTTCTTCCAACAGGGTCTTGCTCTGTCACCCAGGCTGGAGTGCAGTGGCAAGATAATAGTTTACTGCAGCCTCAATCTTCCAAGCTAAAGTGATCCTCCCACCTTAGCGTCCCGAGTAGCTAGGACTGCAGGCACACACCACCATGCTGGG